AATAATGATGACGTTTGGAACTTTCAAAAAATGTAGAAATGTCAATTTAATCGTATAGAATTTTTTTATAGTTCGAAAAGTTAGTATACTGATGAATGTACAATAAATCAATAATCTCACGTAAAAAAAAAAAGAATTTAATATATTTCACTTTGTCTGAAAAATCCAATCATAATAACGCATCACGTGACACATAACTAACGCGCCAAATTGCGAATTTCTTATTAGCATTTTATTATCAAGTTTTTAAACTCTTTCAATAACACATTTATGAAAATGCTTTTCAAAAAAGGAAAATTGTTTACTTTTTTTTTTTTTGAATAGGTCCAGTTTGGCCTTTTCTTTTTTTTTTTTTGGCAAGACAGGATCACGTAGAAAACAACGGTAAAAAGAGTAAAGAAGACTGGATTTATTTTGACGCAAGTAAAAAAAAATAAAATAAAATAAACATTGAATTTTACAATAAAATGAACTTAATTAAATTTATATTAACAAAGTGATTTGCTTGCTACGCTGCGAACGGTAAAGATTTCATTTACAAAAAAAAGTGTCATACGAGATTTTATTTACTTAAAAATTAAAACTCATCTATAAGAATTCAACACAAAGCGAAACCTATGTAAGAAGTGATTTTATTTACGAATTTATATTTTCTAAATTTTATGTCCATAAACTCTACCAGTTTTAATTGAAGTGTGATTTTCATCAAATTCTTCGAGAACCTTTTCAATCATTTCATCATAATCATCATAACTTAAATCATCTACGAAATCAACGATGGGTTTTTTATAACTTGTGAATAATCTGGAATAATGAGAATTGATCTATTAAAGGAAGAAAAAAAATTAGTTTATTTCGATTGCGAAAAAAAAAAAATCTAAAAATATTTGTTTAATTTATTTACCAATTCACCAATTCTTCCGGGCATTCCGAAATAAAATCTTTTTTCTTCATGTTTAATGTTGCTAAGTCTCCCAGTTAATTCTAACATCGATGGCAACTTGTATACAATATAGGGATCTATTCCTTTATATTCATACAATTTGTGCACTATTGAATTATAAAATATGTAAATGAAATTACAGTAAATCTATTTATTATATTACTCTATGAAATCTGGTGCTGCTTGGATACTTACTGTACGAGATCCATCGGTCACCTTCAGGACCACCATTCCAGAATTTATCATCAAACTCCATGAGCTTAAAAAAGAAAAAGTGTGAATTTTTGTTTCATTACACGCATGAATTAAAATCAACCAGGAAATTACCTCCAAATAGCCTCCGGGTTTCAAAACCCTAATTAATTCATTAATGGCTTTCGCCCAATCTTCAACCGAAAATGAGGAAACCAAAATTTTCTGATACACAAAATCAAAGGTATTGTTTTCAAAAGGTAATCCAATCAAGGTATCACATTGATAAAAGTTAAGATTCTTTGGTTTGTTTTTTGGTTCAGGAATGGGTAAAATATCGGTACCAAAAAATTTACAATTTCTATATTCTTTTGCCATATCCATTAACCAAGGCGCGGCGGGATGGCAGCCAGCGTCAAGAACTTTTGCACCACCTGCATTTAACAAATCTTCAACTGGGGAAGAAAAATTATTTTGCCATGTCGATTTAAAAATTTCATGAGATGCGATCGTTCTCTCCTTTTCATGAGTTGTTAATGTAAGAAATGCTAGTGAATTTTTTGAACTTTCGACGGCTTGTTCAATATTTGCATTTCTTGTTATTTCAGGCATATTGAAGTGTAGGAATATGATATCTGTTGGTATTTGATAATGTTGTAAGGAATTGAATTGATTCTTCGTCGTTGTATTTATTCCGTACTTATATCAGTTTTTTTTTTTTTTTTTTCCTACAAATTTGATGAAAACATGTAAATATGTAATGATCTACAAAAGAGAACATTAAAATGTGCATTGCTGCACGAACTTGTGTTTAAACCTTTAAATTTTTACAAACAATAATCAAAACAAGACATGTGAAAAAAATCATTTATATTGTTCTTTTCTCTTTGAAGTTATTTTTATCCATGAGGATGACCGATTTTGGTAATAAAAACAAAGCAAAGACAAATAAGCGTAATTAAGACCAAAAAAAAAAAAAATTTATTTTCCAATAAGTTTATTATGATGTGTTATGATATTTAATCAGCTTTTTTTTTAATCGAAAAATCTTTTGGCTACGGCAGTATTTTATATCGCGAGGATAAAATATGAAGTTTCTTTGTCATTATTTCGCATACATTTTAATATTGTTTATTTGCTTGTTAAAATCAAAAAAAAAAAAAATCTTTTTTTTTGTCGTTCTTTATCTCATTTCATGTGCGAAAATGTGATTATCGTCAAATCGGCGAGTAATTTTTGCAGTTGCAAGCTTGAACGTACTTTTAGGTAGGCTACAAAAATTATAACGCGACATATGAATCTGAAAAACGCGCCAAAACCAGCAACAACTCATGTTTCGAAGGCGTTACGACTTTGGCACGTTTTTCCAGTGTTTTTCAAATGTCCCGACGATTTCCTTACGCACAATCGACGTTCTATTTTTATAGGAGAAGGCGTTAACATAAACCAATTGTTTGTCATATCTTGTCAAACGTTCTTTACATTATGTCCGGATGTCGGATACATAAATGATTTCTTTTATTAATTATCTCGATTCAAAGTAACTTAGAATTGAGATGTTAATTTTTTTTTTTTTTAACATAAATTTCGATAAATTTATGACAAGTTAATATAGGAATTTTATGTAACCATGTGGGTTAAATCAAATTTGTAGTAAATTTTAAGAATAATTTAAAATACTTTTTCCTTGAATAATTTGATATATGCGTGTGTACTTGTTATCCTTTGAAGAAAATATAAACTATACATTATAACTTATAATGGAGATGAATCATTACCAAAATGGCAAAAATTTCTATTTTATAATATAGTTTTTACGATCTTAAAAATTTATCATGAGAAGATATTTTCTATAATTGCAGAAAATAAAATATGGGTAAACGTTAAAATTTATTTACGACTATCAGATCTAACTTCAACAGTATAATGATATCGTCTACTATTATTAATACATATTATCCCTAAGGCATATTAAAATTTGGTTAAATTCCAATCGGGAATTCTGAGAAATACGATGTTAAAAAGATGGTGTTCGGAGACTTTTGACTGAGGTCTGTATTTTTTGAAAAAACTGAATTATAAAAAATTGATATAACGATAATAAAATCGTTTTATTAATATTTAAAAGTATTCACAATCAATTCTAATTCGTAATGACTAGCCAAGAGATTAAGAAAAAATAGGTAGTAAATTTTTATTGATAATATATGCATATCTGGGGTAATATGATTTTCACAATCGCTAAGGATCTTTATGAATGCAATATTTTATGCATATTTTTGTTTTTAAAAAGAACACTGTAATTTCGGATTAAATGATCGTTACTGCAGGATTTATTATTATTATTATTTTTTTTGCTCGCGGAGAATCTTGTTTGAGTTAGAATGTTTTCTCTCTCGATTATATTTAAATGAAGCAAAGAAATAAAGTTCATTTTTGGATATTTGTCTAAGATATCTTTTCCTTGTCTCAATACTTTAATTCATCATGCAAGATTTTGCACATATTAATGCTCGCGATAGCAAATTTTCCTATTTGTTGAAGCATTACCTTGTGTGCAATTCTAAAGTGTACGCAGATTGAACGAAAACTCATAAACTTGAATTTATTGGATCAAACGACCGGACATTTGAGACGTCCAGAATTTTGGCGTATTATACGATACAGGATCAACCGATTTTTTTTGATAGACTGTACTTCACTTATATGGAGGATAAATTTCAACCATGGATAATGTTTCATAGGTCTCGCCAAACCATTCAATGTTACGTATGGAAAGGTATCGAGAACATCAGGCACGACCACTTTCGACATTTTCGAAGGTGAGGATCTTGTGGTGGAATCGCATAGCTAATGTTCTTTCCAAAGATTTTAGTGACCTCGAATATGACGGCATTCAGCAGTAGCAAGTACATCCAGCAAATCACATCAACCTCCAAACCTTATAAACCAAAAAAAACCTCGATCAACCACAATTCTCTTATTTTTTTTTTTTGCTTGGTAGAGGTGAAAGTAAGTAAAGCGAATTAACAATTGGCGGAATTAATCCAGATAGATATCTTGAACCACTTACCTGGTCAATGGGCAACCATGAAGGAAACGTTGATACCAGGACCTCACTAATAATTATGCCACCTGCCGATGCTCGGCAAATTTATGAAGCAAACCTAGGGTGACTTGAGATGTTGATCCTGAGATTTTGTAGTCAAGGACAACGTAGAAGGTAATGATGATGAATGCTTTGGGGCGATATAGGGATTTGATATTGATATCTATGCTATTTCTTTATCGTATTATAATTGAAAGTTTAATGATGATGTTTAAGGATGTATACAGCATTTTCTGACCAATGCGATTTCCGAGTACAAGCTTGCGGATCCTGTTTTAGTAACGATATTCAAGCAGTGTAACACAATGATGAGCATCGTGTAACTTCGTATCTCGAAATTTTAACGGTCGGAGACATGGTTATATATGGAGATGTAGCATCGACCAATGAAATAGCGTAGCGTGAGAAATACTTAACGAGAACCTGTTTTAGTAACGATATACATGCAGTGTAATACGATGATGGGCATTGTGCATCTCGAAATTTTAACGGTCGAGACATGGTTATATATGGAGATGTAGTATCGACCAATGAAGTAGCGTAGCGTGAGAAAATGCTTAATGAGAACCTGTTTTAGTAACGATATTCATGCAGTGTAATACGATGATGGGCATTGTGCATCTCGAAATTTTAACGGTCGAGACATGGTTATATATGGTGATTTAGTATGCGACCAATGAAGTAGCCCAGCGTGAGAAAATGCAAGTTCCGATGTACAACTGATTTGTTTTGGAAAAGCTTACATATATTTGGGTAAATTCAAATGGAAATCATATTAATTAATAATGATTATGGTATTTATGGAAATTTCTATTGTATTATAATTTTTATGTCGAAAGGCAAATACAATTTTGTCACGTGATTTAATTGTTTTTTAATAGTGGTGGAGGTGGTTGTATTATTTATCTGATGATTATGATGGTTCTACCACCTCCACCATCAACTTGTGGATGAAATAGATTAGTCAAGATTTGGTTAGCAGATCATCCTTAGACAAAATGGATGGCCCATTATTGATATTTTGAAAATCATCATTATTTTTTTTGCTTTGATTATTTATTTTGAAATAATAAAATCGATAAATCAATATTTAAAATTCATAAAAAATATGCATCTTAACGCATTTGCCCGGCTAGCTCAATCGGTAGAGCGTGAGACTCTTAATCTCAAGGTTGTGGGTTCGACCCCCACGTTGGGCGCGGGATATGTTTTTCCTCGACATATTATTTTTTTTTTTTCGTCGCCGTAAGTGTGTGGCAAAGTATCATACTAATTTCTAAACTTGTCTTAAAACAAGTAGATCGCCATCCTTTTTTTACTTTTTATATCTTTCATTACAAAAAGACGGATAAAGAGAAAATTCACACATTTTGCCATACAACTTTGCAACTAGCCACGACATAAAAAATAAAAACAATATTTCGTTTATTCAGGTGGTGAATCTTTATTCCAAACGAAAAAGATCAACATAACAGTAACATTATCGCTCGGTTTAGAATGATTTATAGCAGCTGCGGCTAATGCATTAGCTAATTTGTGAACATCATATCCTTTATCAAGCTCATCTGTAATAACTTCAACAACAGTTTGCTCGTCATAAACATTCCACAACCCTAAAATAAAGACACAGTAAGTATTACAAAAAAAAAAACGTTACAATGTTTACTTTTAGAAATTAAAAAATTATTTACCGTCTGAAGCAATCACCAGGAATTCATCTACTTCAGGAATAAGATCGATTTTATACGTATGAGGAACCGGAGTAATCCAATCTTTACCAGTTGGGGTATATGGGGTTTTAAAATCAAAATCACCTAGAGCTAATGATATTACCGAATAAAAAATACGTAATTTTTTTTAAATTTTTTCATAAAATACAGAAAACGAACCTCTAGTCATATTAACGGAATGACCTGGACGAATGAGTCTTCCCTTTCTAATTTGTGCCTTCGCTTTAGCAAGTCTAATAAAAAGAAAAAAATTTTTTTTTTTTAAAAAAGGTTTTGAAATTCACTTCACTTAATTTCTATTACCTCTCAAGTTCTACTTCGTCATCTGTTCTATCGTCAGTGCTGACTGGTATAGCTTCGGGAATACGACCGGGTCTAGTACCAAGTACAGCAGAACTATCACCAACATTAGCGATATAAAAAGTATCAGAATTCTTTAAAAATAACGCGGCTATTGTAACGTATTATTATGAATTAATAATAATACCAAGATATGTTTAAGAACAAAGACGAGAAAAATCAGCGCACCAGTAGCGGTAGTTCCACCTTGTTTTTCAGCACCAAATGTTAATCTTAATAAATAATCTTCTTGTTTAAATCCGTTAACAAAAGCTTTTTCGTAGTTTTTAGTTTTAAATTCATAATCATTTACAATCAAATCGGCTAAATTTTCTTTGGCGTGCTTTAAAATCAAATTTATAAAATGATCGTAAATGATCCTCGAAAATTTTTTTTTTTTAAATTTTTTCTTCGAGATCATTATTTGCAAATTTCGTACCTTTGAAAAGCTCCCATCTCCATGTCCATCATAAATGATAAATAATGAATATCCTTGATCATGAAAATAATGATTTCTAACATCAAAACTATCCTGTTGAACTTCACGATCCCCTTTTAAAGTTGCTATTCCAACATCTAAATCTACGAGTGACATATTTGGTTTCGAATTTAAATATTTAAAAAACTTTATTGAAAGAAGGATAAATTATTGAAAGAAGCTAAATATTTAAATTATCAATAATGATGTAAAGATGATGATCGAAAATTCAATAATAACCTAAACTCGGAGTTTATGATTTGATGGGCATTATGTCATTACATGTGACAAAAATTCATTTCTAAAATATGGCACCTAATGTCGGTAACGTTTGTAAGTAAGATTTTAATGTATATAGAAGTTTTCAAGTTTATCAATACCATTATTGTCATTTTAAAACAACTATCTTCTGAACTGCAAAAAGTACATGATAGTTTGACCCCAAGACAGAGAAGAGAATAAAAGCTGTAACTCTTCTAGCAATAAATTCAAGTTCGTATCGTAGCATAGGATAAAACTTTATTTGGCAATCATATTTTTTTTTCGCATATATTATGAGCTATCATGGCAACATCGTAATATTGTAATGACGATCTCGATCCTGCACCCGCACATGACAGTGAGTCCTTGTGACATGCGTGACATGATTAGATTTCTGTCAATCCTACCGATTTATAGATGCCGAAACCTCCTCAAAATAATTTCGTCATACCCTTTTCTATGTTTTTAATAATTTCGACAGTTTAGTTTCGTCTAAGTTTCGACTGTTATTAAGGATTTCGTCCCTCAGCTCTAGACCGATTCCACTCACATTTGTGGTGTAAGCGACATATGGGGTTTCGTCAATAGAAATACACCTTACTTACTTAATAAGATGTCTATTGACGAAGCCCCATATAGGTTTGCTTTAATAAAAAAAACCAGCTCCACAAAACAAAACGTCCACATCTAGTACTAAAGTGGTAAGAAAGTTGAATACGGATTATGCATTTTTTGTGATCCACCAATAAACCCGTTGGTCTCTTGTTAAATACAGACACGTGAATATTATGAACAAAGAACGTAGGAATGGTGTATTACTGGATTCCTTGGTGAGTGCAATGTCGAACTGTTTAGACAAAAGATAAATTGCCCTTGAGAATATCGCCAATATAGAAGAAGGTCGAAGACAAAAAAAAAAAGTACAGCAATTATTTAATATTTACAGGCAGGCGAGTATTTAATTTTTGTGTAAAAGGATTGTAGAAAAATAAGTGGCATGAGGACCCTTCGAGCTCC